CAGACTTCATCTCACCTACTTTGGTCATGTTGTCAGAAGGGACCATTCCCTGGAGAAGGATGTCATGCTTGGTAAGGTGGAGGGTCAACGAAAGAGGGGAAGGCATTCAATGAGATGGATTGACACAGTGGCTGCGATGAGGGCTCAAGTATAGCAGAGATTATGGAGCTGGTGCAGGATCTGGCAGTGTTTCGTTCTGCTGTGCATGGGGTTGCTATGAGTCAGAAACGACTCGATGGCATCTAACAGCAACAACATTAGAAAGAGTGAAGATGTTTTACTTTATGGCATTCCTGAAGAATGCTCAGAGAAAGAGTTTTCTGGATGACCAATTGTGAAATTTACTTTTTGTGATTCTGGAGCTTTTGTTTGTTTTCTCAACTGCGGTTTTGGCATTCCCCACCCTCACACCTGGCTGTTACTTCTCCATTTTTTGCTAGCTTATGAAAGCCCATTATTTCTACCCTGATTTTGATGGCTTATTCTTGTTGGCAAGTATTGTTGAATGTACTCTACACTGCCAGAGAACAAACAAATCAGTCTTAGAAGAAATACAACCAGAATGTTCCTTAGAAATAGAACCAAAAAAAACAAAAACAAAAACAAAAACAAACTCGCTGCCGGCGAGTCGATTGGACTCATAGTGACCACTCCTTAGGTTTCTGAGGCGGTATCTGTAGGGAAGTAGATTGCCCAATCTTCTTTCCCAGGAGTGGTTGGTGGGTTTGAACCACAAGCCTTTTGTTTAGCAGTCAAATGCCTTAGACACTACGCCACCAGAGCTCCCAGGGATAGGGAAACTTCCTGTTGCTTACTTTGGACATGTCATCAAAAAAAGACCAATTGCTAGAAAAACACATCATGTTTGGTAGAGGGTTAGTGAAAATAAGGGAAATCTTCAATGAGATGGAGTGACACAATAATGACTAGACACAATAACTACAACAATGAGCTCAAATGTATTAAAGATCACGAAGATGTTGTAGGACTAGCAATGTTTCATTCTGTTATACCTAACGTTGCCATGAGTCCAAGCCAACTAACCAACTAACTTCACTTGCAATACCTAATTGAATCCATAAAAGCCACATGAACGCAATCAGCCAACCATTCAATGAGTGAAGGTTGAGGAAAGAGTTATTTGAAATGGTTGACAGTAAGAAAACAGTATAAGGATTATGTGGAGCTCAAATCCCAAACAGTGAGGGGAAAAGCCGATCAATTTTCCACACATTTTCTACACCATGTTATAGTCTCCTAATTTAGTTATCATAAATTCCCCTTGGTGTTTACATTTGCAGGAACCCAATATTTACTACCTTATATTCATTTCATTTCTGAAAAAAAAAAATAAAATTCTGTGCTGTGTCAGAAGTCAATTAAATACATGTCAGAAATCTGTGGTGGTAGCAAGTCTTTACACTTTTCCACTGGTGGGATTTATAGTGAGTGGTCTGCTAGGTGGAATTCAAGGGAACCTTATGCATTTTTCCCTCAGCTTGTGCATCTACAGCAGGACTGTACCAAGGGCACATCACAAATGAGCAGCCATCTTAATCACCCACACAGATGAAACAAGAACTCCCATGACCCCGTTGCTCTTCTCCAAGGCACTTTCACTTTACACTTCTAGACCTTTAGGAATTCAGGTTTGCACACTTAAGGTTTATGTGCTTTCATTCTATGGCAAAGGTGCATTTGGTTGTCTGCTACGAACAGGGAGCTGGCACAAGACTTTTCCTCTTTAATAAAGGTAAGATTATTTGAAATATCCTCATGGGGTGGAGAGAAGAGCCCTAGCGTACACAATGCCTATTTATTACCCCAAAATCTCAGCCCTTGCGTTGTGCCTTTCTCTGGGGCATTATCGGATCTGGCCAGCGACTCTCAGAGCTCTGGGAAACGGTCAACGACTACAAAACAGAGAATTCTGGGGGAAGGAAGTGACGTTAAGGCTCAAGGCATGCTGGTCCCAGGCGGGCCGCACACCAGAAACTCGGTGTAACGTGGTTGCTTTTGTGTTGGTCCCGGCGTGTCATAACTGGTATTTTTTTCTTGTTTGTAAGGACTAGACGTTAAGTAGCACGTGGTTTGAATACAGTTCTAGGTGTTGTGCTGAAGTACAGGCTAGGGAAACAGCTACAGCCCCTCGTCTGCGCATCCTCCAAACACTTAAGAGGAATCGGTCACAAATTTAGAGGCTTTTCCGTGGCGGGATCCAGAGACACATGGCCAGAGAGTGAGTGGGTGTTTATCGGAGGGGCTCTTAGTTTTGGCTAAAAGTAATGTGGGGTGGGTGATTGATCGAAGGAAAGCAAGGTTTAAGCATCATCTGCTGACTGGAGTTCAAAGACAGTGAAGGAGATCTGGAATAGGATTTTACACTGCCATAAGCAATTCCGACTCATAGCGACCCTGTGGGACTGATGAACTACCCTATAAGGGTTTCTAAGGCTGTAAATCCTTACAGAAGCGGGCTGCTACGTGTTTCTCCAGCAGATCGGCTGGTGAGTTCAAACCACCTTTCGATTAGCACCCAAATACTTAACAACTGTGCTCTAGGGATCCCTGGAATGGGATTGGGGCATGGAATTAAGTATACCAGATAAGTTACCCCAGACTTGTTCTGCTGTGATTCAGCATGTCGTAGCGTTTGGGCTGAATTGTAAATACTAACTTTATCTTTTCCTAATATATTTGAAAATTTGGTAGTTTTAAAATACTTGTTTTTTTCTCCAACCGTAGATCAATTTCTTATATATTAATACTTAATAGTATTAAGTAACTGCTTAAGAATTTGAAGCAAATCGCAGATGTTCTCTGCCTCTAGAATGGAGATTATGGGTAAGACATTTGCTTGGGTGAAACATAAATATTAACCCGAACTGGTGGTGGTTTAAATCTAGCCAGCTGGCAATCATGAATGAATGGATGAAGAAAACTCCCTTAGAATGGCAAGATTATATTTACAAAGAAGTTAGAGTGACAGCTAGTGAGAAGAAGGAGTACAAAGGATGGGTTTTAACCACAGATCCAGTCTCTGCCAGGTGAGTATGTATCCTGTTTCCCTGAAATCCTGACACCCCTTTGTGTTGCCTGTAATATCCAAATTTAAAAAGAAGGTAAATGAAAGGCTGCTTATTCTCATATAAGAATTTAATTTTCTTTAAATCTAAGTCGTGCTTTAATTATGGATTAACCTATCAGACCAGCCAAATTCATAGTTTAGAATCAGAAATGTAGCACTTCTTTTCTTACTGCATTTTTATCAGAAACTCAAACATACACAAACGTAAAAGAGAATAATGATAATACTCTAACTTTACCCCCTTGAAATTTAAAGCAAATTTCAAGCGTTATATCATTTTGCTTATCAATATTTGAATAGATTTTTAACAGATTTGTTGTTGTTGTTGTTATGTGCCGTCGAGTCAGCCCTGACTCATAGCGACCCCTCCTTGGGTTTCCGAGGCAGTATCACTACGGAAGTAGGATTGCCCAACCTTCCTTCCGGGGAGTGGCTGGTGGGTTTGAACCGCCAGCCTTCTGGTTAGCAGTCAAGTGCCTTAGCCACTATGCTACCAGAGCTCCCTTTAACAGATAGGCTTTTTAATAAATTTAATTACAATATCATTACAACATCTAGCAAAATTAATAATTCTGAATATTAACTAATTCCCAGCCTAAGTTCACATTTTCCTGAATGTCTCAAAAGTATCTTTTTATTTTGGTTCATTCAGTTTGGTTAATATGTCTCTTATGTATCTCAATCCATAGCTACACTTTTTCTTCTCTTTTATTTTCCATGTCTTGTATTTGTTGAAGGAACTAGGTTATTTGTCTTACAGAATTCAACATATTTTAAATTAAGCTCATTACATCCTTATAGTATAATTGAACATGCTCTTTCCTATAAGCTGGTAGTTAGATCTATAGGTTTGATTAGTGTCATATTTATTTTTTGCGAGAATACTTCAAGATACACATATACACACTCTTTTTGTATTTTGGAATAAATTTAGATTTACAGAAAAGTTGCAAAGAAAGTACAGAGAGTACATGTATACCCTTCACTTAGATTCCCTAATAGTAACATCTTACATAAATCTACATTTGTAAAAACTAACAATTTATGTTAACTAAACTATATAAACTCTATTTGAATTTCACTAGTTTTTCCACTAATGGCTTTTTTCTGTTCCAGGATCCAGTGTGGGATCCCACTTACATTTAGACATCATGTCTACTTAGTCTCCTCCAGTTTGTGACAATTTCTCAGTCTTTCCTTGTTACTCATGACCTTGACAGTTTTGAAGAGTGCTGGTCAAATATTCTGTAGGATGTCCCTCAGTTGGGGCTGTGTGATATTTTCTCATATATAGACTGGGGTTATTGTTTTTAGGGAAGAATACTACAGAGGTGAAATTCCCTTCTTATTGTATCATGTCATTTTATTTAGGAGTTTTGTATTTATATTCATGAGTGAGATTAACTTATAGTTTTCTTTTTCCATTGTGTCTTTATCTGTTTTTAGTGTCAGGGTTATACCAGCCTCATTATATGAGTTAAGGTATAGTCTTTCTTTTATATTCTCTAGAGGAATTTGATTAAATTGGGAACATTTGATCCTTTAAAATTCTATAGAACTTGACTGGAAAATTGTCTGGACCTTATTTTCCCTGTCATGTTTAACTAGTTCTTTTTTCTTTTTTTTTTTTAAGATTATAGGACTATTTATATTTTGCCTTTTTATTTTTTAGCTATTAATGGAATTTTCTAGGAAGTTTTTAATTTTGTTTATTTTCTGTTTCATTAATTTGCACTTTGTTATTTTATTTTGGCTGCTTTGGTGGGGGAGTTATCCAGTTGTTATTGTTGTTATATTTTTTAACTCTAAAAGTTAAATTTGAACTCTGCTTTTTTAATATACATATTTATGGTGTTCATAAGTCTGGGAGAAAAGTTTAGGTGTTTAGGATGCTCAGTGAATGCTTGTTGACTAAGCAAAAGCATTTGGTGGTGAGAGGATTATATTCAAACAGAAACAGTATTTGTCTTTTATTCTAGTTACTTGGTTTAGTTGATATTTCTGTTGGGCTCGAAAATGCATCTCATTGAATTGCTTCCTCAGTAGTTTTATGGACCCTTAAATTTTTTTTCAAATCTCTGAATTTACTTTTCCTCCAAAGTATTGTCCTTGTGAACTTCCTTGAAGATGGCAGCATGTCTGTTACTGGAGTTATGGGACATGCTGTACAGACTGTTGAAACTGTGAGCGATGGGGACCGTAGAGTGAGAGAGAAGCTGATGCATTTGTTCATGTCTGGAGACTGCCAAGCATACTCTCCTGAGGATCTGGAAAAGAGAAAGAACAGCCTAAAGACATGGTTAGAGAAGAACCACATCCCTGTCACTGAAGAGGGAGAATCACAAAGGACTATCTGTGTGGCTCAGGTCCTGACTATAGAGCCACCATATGGTCCGGAAAATTGCATCAGTTCTAATGAGATTATTCTGTCCCGTGTTCAGGATCTTATTCAAGGACATCTTACAGCTTCCCAAGAAGATAACAGAAATTGTGAATGAGGTGATTCAAATAAGACTCCATTTTTTCTTTCATAAAATGTTTTGAATTTTAAGTCTATCATATTACATAACTTTAAAGGCATATGTGTGTGTGTTTTAATTCTTTATTAGTTTTGGTAAAATCAAAGGTGTGGATTATGAATGCTCATTTCTTTGGGAAATAAGTGAAGTGGGACAAGGATAGCCTAACATACAACAAAATTGGCACAGGGACATCTAAATTATAAGAATCTTTTCTTGTAATAAGGAATTCTGGTAGTGCGGTCCCTAAGGTATCTGAGTGCTAACTGAAAGTTTAGCAGTTCAAAGCCACCAGCTGCTCCATGGAAGGAAGATGTAGCAATCTACTTTCGTAAAGATTTACCACCTTGGAATCCTAGTGGGGTCACTAAGAGTCAGAATCTACTCGATGGCAGTGGGTTTGTGTTTTGTTTGTTTCTCTGTTTTATCCTTGTAATAGGAATATACCACCATTTTTGTTTGGCAAGAAATGAAATCTAACAGATTCAATATAATATGTAAGGTAAAATCACAGCCTTATTAAGTCCCTTTTTCTTACACTGCACTAACCCTATGGGTCTGTTTTTAAAGTGTTTATCTTTTCTTTGCTGTAATGAAGTATTTAAATCAAAATTTATCCTTTGATGGTTGAAACTTGCAGGTTTTGATTATTAATAAAATCTTAACACATAAGCCTTGAAACTCTCAAAGCTTTTAAAGAGTGAGCAATCTGATCTCTCTGAGGGACAAGGGAACTGTGATAAGGTGTTGTGCTGAACTCAGTCCAAATGCTTTTGTTTAGTGAATTCAGCCCATGCTTCAGGCTTTTAGGCTTATGGTCCTTTTTGCCTATAGCCAGTGAGCTTTGCCTACACTTGACCCTGCTCCCTTGGCAGCCAGTCAGGGGCCAGGACTCTGGAGATTTCTGGACCAGACTGGTTGTTAGTTTTTTGTTTTTTTTTTCCCCCTGGGGCATATCTAGGGTAGCCTCAGGGGTTCCCATGTCATTTAGAACTCCAAAACTCAGACCCTCTGGCCTAGTCCGGCCTGTCACCTCCTTTTGTTAAATCTTGGAACACAGCCACACCAATTATTTATGTATTGTCAGTAGCTTCTTTTGCAATATAGTTACAAGAGATTGTACCTTTTGTTTGCTACTTAACCCTTATGTTTATTTACTGTCTGGCCCTTTACAGAATAAAGTTGCCCAAGGAGATCTGCCCTGGAAAATCCTTGAACTAGCCTGGTCTCTGCGGGGCCTTAGGACCAACTTCCCAAGGCAGTGTTAACCTGGACAGGCACTTGAGGCTGCTGTAACCTAAACTCACTCTCATTTCTCCCTGGTCTGTTCTCAAGAGAATTAACTAGCAAACAGCTCTCTTTCAGTCAGCTCTTTGTTTTCTGTCTCTAGTCATCCATACAAAAGGCGAATGGGTACCTTTTGGAAGAAATATTTTTAAATATTCGGCTTTTAAAGTGGTTATTTCTAAAAAGTTTTTGAATGCTGTTTGATAACCTGGCTAAATTGTTTTCTTGCATAGTTGTCTAAAAAGATGTAGTCCAGTGCTTTTCACACTCTAGTAAGAGTCAGAATTAGCTAGAGAACTTGTTGAAACAGATTGTTGGGCCCTACTCCCAATAGTTTCTGGTCCATAGGTCTGGGGTAGAGTCCAGGAATTTGCATTTCTAACAAATTCCCACAAGATGGTGATGCTGAGAGTTCAGAGACTACACTCGGAAAAGCAGAGTAGAACTTTGAAGGAACAAAAAGTCCCTCCACAGCTTTAAAGTGCCACGATCCTAAAAGCAAAATTTAGCCCATAGCCTCTTTCTTTGTGACTAAGTCTCTCCCATTCAAAGCCTAGAATATTTTCAGGCTTTGAAAAGGATGCAAATAGGGGAAGGGGAATAAGTTGAACTTGGCATGGGAAATGATTCTGATGAGATGAGGGAGGCCCTTAAAAGGGGAGAAATCTCATAGTTATCCATAGCATATGTCAGGCTTGATCCTGGTCCAGGGACAGGTTCTGGTGCAGTGGTCTTGGTAGATTTATTTGCAGTCAAACTAATGAGCTGGTGACACAGACTCTCTGCTCGTTTAAACCATTTGTCTGCAGACAAAACCTGTGTGCTTAAGAGGGTAAGTGATATGGCCCTGCCATGGAAACCTGCAGGCCTGGGGATGCTCCCTGTCATTTCCTCAGCTAAGATTTTTCCCAGGAGCTTGACTTGCTCATTTCACATTCTGCTTTAGAGGACTGTCAGCATCTCTGTTTCCACATTGCTCTGGGCCTCTATGAACACAGTATCAAAAATACTTTTTGAAACAAAAGAATGTTTTGACTCTCACTGAGTAGATTTTGGTCTCCTTCAAGCAAAGTTTCTAACCTTTGCACTATTTACCTGCTGTCCTGTGATTTATCCAGTTTCCTAAATACCTGCTTTTTTCTATAGATGCTATGGCTAACATTTACTTTTCCATGAATTAACTTTTTAAAATATTTATTCTGAAAATTTTGTGATGCCTCTGAAGTAGATATGTTCTAAGATGCCAAAAGTAAGGGTCAAAGATTACTATCTCATGCTTAATTTTGGGGAGAAATCAGGTCCGTGGAGGGACTATGATTACACATATCTAAGTTCTGGTAGCATAGTGCCTAAAGCACTTGACTGCTAACCAGAAGGCTGGTGGTTCAAACCCACCAGCCACTCCTCAGAACAAAGATGGGGCAATCTACTTCCTTAGTGATACTGCCTCGGAAACCCAAGGAGGGGTCACTCTGAGTCAAGTCTGACTCTACGGTACATAACAATCTCTTCTGCCAAATGAAAACAATTGATTTTTGTTTGAAACAGTCTTTACAATATTAAAGGATTCTTTTATTGAAAATTAATTACTACTCAAACATGCTTTTCCCTTTTGCGTATTACTTTACAGTCTTTTAAAAGCATTTACATGTTTGTAATCAATACCTGTGTTGTTGTTAGGTGCTGTCGAGTCTTCTCTGACTCATAGGGACCTTATGTGCAGCAGAACTAAACACTGCCTGGTCCTGTGCCATCCTCATGATCCATGCTATACCTGAACCCATAGTTGCAACCACTGTGTCAATCCATCTTGTTGAAGGCCTTCCCCTTTTTTGTTGACCCTCCACTTTACCAAGCAGGGAATGGTCCCTTCTGACAACATGACCAAAGTAGGTAACACGAAGTTTGGCCATTCTCGCTTCCAAGGAGCATTCTGGCTGGACTTTGTCCAGGATAGATTTGTTAATTCTTTTAGTGGTCCATAGTGCTCTCAGCATTCTTTGCCAGCATCACAACTCATAAGCATCAACTCTTCTTCGGTCTTCCTTATTCATTGTCCAGCTCTCATATGCATAAGATGTGATTGAAAATACCATGGCTTGGGTTAGGTGCACCTTAGTCTTCAAGGAGACATCTTTGTTTTTCAGCACTTGAAAGAGGTCTTTTGAGGCAGATTTGCCTAATGGAATACTTCACCTGATGTCTTGAGTGCTGCTTCCATTGGTATTGATTGTAGAACCAAGTCCTTGACAACTTCCAATGTTTTCTCCGTTAATTGTGATGCTACTTATTAGTCCAGTTGTGAGGATTTTCATTTTGTTTGTATTGAGCTGTAATCCATACTGCAGACTGTAGTCATTAATCTTCATCAGTAAGTGCTTCAAGTCATCTTCACTTTCAGCAAGCAAAGTTGTATCATCTGCGTATTGCAGGTTGTTAATGAGTCTTCCTCCAATCCTGATGCCACATTCTTCTTCATATAATCCATTTCTCAGATATTTGCTCAGCATACAAACTGAATAAGTATGGTGAAAGGATACAACCCTGACACACTCCTTTCTTGATTTTAAACCGTGTGATGTCCTCTTGTTCTGTTCGAGTAACAGCCTCCTGGTCTATGTACACTTTTCTCATGAGTGCAACAAATGTTCTAGAATTCCCATTCTTTTCAATATTATCCACAGTTTGTTATGATCCACAGAATTGAATGCTTTTGCATAGTAAATAAAGCATAAGTATAAATCTTTTTGGTATTTTTTGCTTACAGCCAAGATCCATCTAACATCAGCTATGATATCTCTAGTTCCATGTCCTCTTCTGAATTCAGCTTGCATTTCTGGAAGCTCTCTGTCAACATACTGCTGCAACTGTTTTTGAATTATCTTCAGTAAGGTTTTACTTGCATGTGATATTAATGATACTGTTCAGTAATTTCTACATTCTGTGGGATCACCTTTCTTTGGAATGGGTACAAATATGAGTCTTTTCCAGTCAGTTGGCCAGGTAGCTGTCTTCCAAATTAGTTGGCATAGCCAAGTGAGTGCCTCTAGCACAGCATCCATTTTTTTGAAACAGCTCAGTGGGTATTCCATCAATTCCTGGAGCCTTGTTTTTTTTTTTACCAATTCCTTCAGTACACCTCGATTTCTTCCTTTAGTACCATTGGTTGTTGATCATATGCCACCTCCTGAAATGGATGAACATCAACCAGTTCTTTTTGGTACAATGACTCTGTATTCTTCCATCTTTTGATGTTTCCTGCATCATTCAATATCTTTGCCCATAGAACATTTCAATATTGTAACTCGAGGTTTGAATTTTTTCTTCAGTTCTTTCAGCTTGAGAAATGCTGAGCATGTTCTTTCCTTTTGGTTTTCTAACTCCAGGTCTTTGCATATTTCAGTATAGTAATTGGCTTTGTCTTTTCCAGCTGCTCTCTGAAGTCTTCTGTTCAGCTCATTTATCTTGTCATTTCTTCCATTTACTTTAGCTACTGTCCATTCAAGGGCAAGTTTCAGAGTCTCTTCTGACATCCATTTTGGTCTTTTTATATAGTTTAGTCAGTAATATATGGTTTTATGTATATTTGTAGTCTTCATAATTTTAACATTTAGGATAGTTTTCTATTGTGTTGATGAATCACAACTTATTAAAAATTCCCTTACATCTTGTGCTTGTTCTTTTTTTGCTGTCATACGTTATGCTGCCAAGAATATTTTTATGAATACATCTTTATTGCT